ATTCAAACATCAAGAAAGAGGTACAGGTTCCACTCAACACCATTATTCCGTGGAGTCTTCCAGGAGGACTAAGTCATTTTATAGAAACTTTGCTATCTTTGTTCTCTAGAATATCCCAAAGACTCTGAAATAAAACCAGCAAAACTCCTGTATTTGTTTCCCATTGTGACATAACAAATTATCACAAAACAACACAAATCGATTATCTTACAGAAGTCAGCGGGCTTGACTGGGTCTCACAAGGGCTAAATGAGGGTATCCAGCGGACTAGTTCCCTGCTGGAAACTCTGGAGAAAATCTGCTTCCACATTCATTCATATTGGCTGAATTTAGTTCCTTGCAGCTGTAGGACTGAGGTTCCCACTTCCTTGCTGGTTTTCAGCTGGGACTGGCCTTTCCTACTAGAGGCTGCCTGCATTCCCCCTCTCATGCTTTCAATCTGGTCCCCTCCAGTAATGGCAGGCTAAGTCGTTCTCATTCTTCAAATCTCGGACTTCCCCTTCTGCCTCATCTCTGACACCAGCCAGAAAAAGTTCTCTGCTTTTAAGTGCTTATGTGAGTAGAATAAACCCACGCAGAAAATCCAAGATAATCTACCTAAGATCCTTAACTTTAATTAAATCTACATAACATACTCAGGTTCCAGGGTTTATAGTATGGAAATCATAGGGGAGCCATTATGCTTACAACAGTCTGCCTTCTGGTTTCCAAGGATTCATCTCTCTCCCAAATGCAAAACACATCCATCCCATCCCAAGGTCCCAAAGGTTTCCCATCTAAAGCTTATTTCAAAAGTCCCAAATCTCATTCATCTATTCAGGTGTGGATGAGGTTCTGGGGATAAAACAGTAAGTCCAACTCCTAGGGCACAATTCCTAAGAAAACAAGTTCTCTGCTCCCAAAATACTATTGTGAGACAGATAAAGAATAAGAGTTATAAACATTCCAGTTCAAACGGGCAAAATGTAAAAGAAAACAGAGCCACGGGTCCAAAGTAGTTTCAAAATCTAGGGAATCTCTATTCCACTTCAAAGCCTGGGAAAAAATCCTCTCCAGCTTTTAGCTCCACCCCTCTGGCCTCTCCTATCTCCGTCTGAGTCACCCTTCTTTTTTTACGAAAAGCAACACATTCACATGTGAGTAGTTTTATCAGCCTGCTTCCTATCAGTAGAATTTGGGGGGTCCAACAGCCCTATTACTTTCTGTCTCTTTCAATCCAAAAGAGAATTGTTTATGTTGGCATAAAATTCTCAAGAACCTAACAGGCTGTGGAAGTATTCCACAGGGGTTCACTCCATTAAAGTTCACATTCACAAATAAACCAGGCTGCACATTTAATACTTTGCTTGGAAATCTCAGCTAAATATACAAGTTCATCACTTACAAATTTGGCTTTCCATATAACCATAGGATAAAATTCTGCTAAACTTAGTTGCTGCTACGTAACAAGGGTCCCCTTTCTGCCCGTTTCCAATAAGAAAGACCTCACTTCTGTCTGGGCCCTCATTAGCAGAGTCACTAACATCCATATTGCTATTAAAAGTCTGTCCTAGGCCTTTTCTTTTTTCTTTTTTGACAGGGTCTCACTCTGCCACCCAGGCTGGAGTGCAGTGGTGCCATTACCACTCCCTGCAGCCTCGACTTCCTGGGCTTAAGTGATCCTCCTGTGTTCTACGCCTTTTCTATCATGCCCCTTAAAATTATTCTAACCTTTATCTACTGCCACTTCCATTTTTAGGTAATAGTACCCCACTCCTGGTACCAAAATCTATACTAGTATTCGACTGCTGCTATAACAAATTACTACAAATGTAGTGGCTAAAAATGACACAAATTTATTATTTCACAGTTACTTAGGTCAGAAGTTGGGTGGACTTGGCTAGCTAGGTCTTCTGCTTAGGGTCTCATGAGGCCAAAAAATCAAGGTGTCTCAAGGTTGCATTCCTTGATGGAAACTCTGGGAAATTCACTTTCAAGCTCAATCAGGTTGTTGGTCAAATTCAGGTTCCTTCTGGTTGCAGGACTGAGGTCCCCATTTCTTGCTGGTTGCCAGCCAGGGACTGGTCTTTGCCACTAGAGGCTGCCCACATTCCTTCTGATAACTTTTCATGTGGTCCTCTCTAGCAAAAGCAAATGGAGTCCTTCTCAAGCTTCAAATCTGATTTCCTTTTCTGCCCATTTCTCTGACCCCAGCTGGAGAAAGTTCTCTGCTTTTAAGGACTCATGTGATTAGATTGGGCCCACCCAGAAAATCCAGGATAATTTTTCTATTTTAAGATTCTTAAACTTAATTACACCTGCTAAGTTCCTTTTGCCATGTAACATAGGGTAGTTACAGATTCTGGGGATTAAGGTATGGACAACTTGGGAAGAGGGAGATGTAATTCTGCCTACTACAAATCCAACTCCTATGGAAGGGTTTTTTTTTTCTTAAGATGCAGTCTTGCTATGTTGCCCAGGCTGGAGTGCAGTTGTGTGATCTCAGCTCATTGCAAGCTCCGCCTCCCAGGTTCACACCATTCTCCTGCCTCAGCCTCTCAAGTAGCTGGGACTACAGGCACCCGCCACCATGCCCGGCTACTCTTTTGTATTTTCAGTAGAGACGGGGTTTCACCATGTTAGCCAGGATGGTCTTGATCTCCTGACCTCGTGGTCCGCCCCCCTAGGCCTCTCAAAGTGCTGGGATTACAGGCGTGAGCCACCGTGCCCGGTCCCTATAGAAGGGATTAAACTCACTTCCTAAAGAAAATCATCCCTTTCTTTAAGAGTGTGAAGTAAAGGTGTACAAATTTTACTTACGTGAAGTAAAGTATATATACATACATGCATACATATGTCTTTACTTATGTGACACAAAGATTTATGTTCAGAGATAGAGACAATAGTAAAAACAAGGACTCACTCTGGATGAGTGAGTAGGCAAAGGAACTAAATGCGCAGTATGGAAAAGGAGTTGCCACCTGTTTCATCCTCAAACTGCAAGGCATTTCACCCATAACTACTTAGAAACTAACCCACGCTCCTCCTTAAATGTGTATTTCTCTTCTCTGTATTCCACAAAAAAGTACATAACTAAGCATTGTTTTGTTTTTAAAGAAAAGTCACCTCAGGGGGACCTAACTTTGTAATGAATTGATTAATCAATCTAAGCAAATTTCCAATCTTTCATTCAAGTCATACACCCTCCCCCAATAGCAAACCAAAGCCAAAAATTTCAAAGTCACAGAAGGACAAAAACATGCCCTGCTAAGACTGCAGGTGAACTTTTGAGAATACCACAGAGGAGAACTAGTATTGGTACTGGACTTTCAGCCCCAGGTTCACCAAGCCAGTAAAGCCAAATACTTACAACAAAAACCTACAACTACAAAGGTAATATTCTAAAGCCCTGTCTACAGTCAAATTCTTGACTATAAATTTTACCTAGAACAGAAGAGCCCCCAATATACCAGCTAGTCCCTTTACAGTGACAGGTAAAAGCTACTTACTACACTTACTACCTGCCAGACCCTGTAGTAAGCACTTGACACAAATTGTCTTATTTACTCCTCTCCATCAACTCACAAGCTAGAAAATACCATCATCCCCCTTTTACAGACGGGAAAACAGGCTTAGAGAGTTTAGGTCACAACTAAGTCGCAATGGCCCTGATATCTGACAACCTAGGCAGTGTGGTTTTTAATCACTGGGCCTATACTGCACTCCTTAGATGACATAAAGTCTCCAATTCTTGGAAAAATCTTCCCTTCTTAGTTTTCTTTTCTTTTTTTTTTTTTTTTTTTGAGACGGAGTCTCGCTCTGTCGCCCAGGCTGGAGTGCACTGGCAAATCTCAGCTCACTGCCACCTCCGCCTCCCAGGTTCAAGCGATTCTCCTGCTTCAGCCTCCTGAGTAGCTGGGATTACAGGCGACCGCCACCAAGCCCGGCTGATTTTTGTATTTTTAGTAAAGACGGGGTTTCACCGTGTTGGTCAGGCTGGTCTCGAACTCTTGACCTCGTGATCCACCCGCTTCGGCCTCCCAAGTGTTGGGATTACAGGCGTGAGCCACCACGCCCAGACTCCCTTTTTAGTTTTCATTTCCTCTCCTCATATCCCATTCTCGTAGAATTAAACAGTTGAAAAGTAATCAAGTCTTCCCAAATAATTTGCCATCTCTTTTTCAGAACTCTTTCCTCCACACAAAGCAATAGTCAAGATGCAACTTCTCCTGACCCTGACTCTGCTTCCCCAAAACAAACTACAGAAGCTCCACCCATCACCTGCTTAATCTAGAAGTGTTCCAACACTGCAAAAACACACAACGAAAAACAAAATTGAAAAGTCCTACTCTTTCAAAAGGTCACCAACATATGTATACTCTTAGCCAAGCTTTCTCTCCATACCTCTTTTTCTATCCAGGCTCCTAACTAGTCCTTAACTCCAACTCTAGACGTTCTGCCCCACGTCTTGGTCCCTTCCCACTTTCTCCCCAGCAACTCCGCCTGGGGTTCTCTCCACCTCGCACCCACTCTGCAGGTGGGAAGCTCAGCCCCGCCCAGATGGACCCTAAGAAGGCCCCTACTCCAGCTGCCTAGTTCCGCCGCAGGGTTCACCGCACACTACCCAGCAGGCACCACTCCCTCCGCACCCTCCCCCAGCACCCCACTGCGGCCCCACCCCTCAAGTTCCCTTCCCCCTCTGACGACCCCCTCCTCCAAGTTGTCCCCTAGTCCCCACCCAGTCCGGCCCTTTCCTATGCAATAAGCTGGACTCCGGCAGCCGATTCCCACCCTCACATTGGCCTCTGCCCCCAAACCTCGCCCTCCGCCCTGGGGGGTGGCCCTGGGCCTCCCAGATGGGCTGCAGGGGCCTCGGTTGGTGTATGTGTGAAGGTGGGGGCAGGGGAAGGCGACGGGCCGCTCGGGAGTCTGCTGGAAGCGTGAGTGGCGGCCGCGCTCCGCTGCCCTATCCTGCGCCCACCCCACCCTCCAACGACCTCGCCTGGCGACTCCCAAGGTACCTGTGGTGGAAGCGGCAGCGGCAGTGGCCGCTCTCCCCTCTGCTCACACAGACAATATGGCGGCGGTGGAGGAGGAGACACACGGCTCGGCCGCCAGCCGCAGGGACCAGAGCGAGGCTGCAGCCGCGGCTGCCGGAAGCGGAAACCCCCTCCTACCAGGAGGCGGGGCGAGACAGCTTCCGACTCCGCCCCCAGAGGAATCTAGCTGAGTGCGGCCATGCTGGGCTGTCCTATTGTAGCCTTAGGGATTCAGTTCTGGGCTAGGGTGCAAAATGGAAGGAATTCCCAACGCAAAGCAGAATAAGGAGACTTGCAATAGTTACGCGCATTTTATTTCAATAGTGTTAACAAATGACAACAGAAAGAATACGAACCTCCCACTAGGTGAACAGTTGGTTTGATCCAAGTTAATATGGCGGTACCCAGGTTTCCCGCACTTCAGCCAGCTGGCCCCTCCTTTCCTGAAAAGAACCATGCGCGACCTGCAGAGCTGTAGAGCCAAGCATTCTGGGAGCTGAAGTCCCTTTTGCTCTGACTCCCTCGTTTAAAATTAGGGTTTCAGCAACACTTTCTATTCACACTTGGAGTTCGGAAGAAGTGAATGAAAGTTGGACCCTAGAAAGGGCATGGAGCAGGAGTCTGGGAAGTGAGGATACTAGGTCTCAAGAGACCAAGGCCCAATTCCTTCCTCCTACAGAAGTCTTGCCTAGAGCTCTGCGTTCAAAATAGAGTGTTTTTTCCCCTTCTATCTGCCTCCCACCCCCGCTCTCCTTTCCCGAGCTACCTCCCCAAAACAGTGACAGAGCACCTTCTACCATGCAAAGTTCATCATGGTCTCCTCATGATCAAAAATCTCCCATGGACCTCTTTGTGCACCAAAGATAGCCCAAACTCTTCACTTGACATTCAAAGTCCTCCATAATTTGGCCAAACCCTCTTTTCCAGCCTCCTATTTTGCCACTCTCATCTCAAATTCCGGAAGCTTCCACCCACTAAAACTGCAAACAATTCCTGGAACTTAGCTGTGTTGCCTCCCTCGCTTTGCACTGGCAGTTACTTCTCTTACTGTCACCTCATGGACTGGATAATTTCCGTATGCTGATTGAACTAATTCAGGGATCCTTTCCTCTTGGGGTCTTCTCTCTGTTGAACTCCCTCAAACCCAGGCACTATCAGTTAGTAACCTGAGGACCTCAGTCTGTCTCCTCCATCAGACTGTGAGCCCCTAGTGGACAGAGCTCCATCTGATGATCAACCTCTCCTTTGCAGGCCCTGCTAAAAGCTGAAGCGTCTAGGAGTTGCTGAAAGGAGTTCAAGTGTTAGTCTCACCTCTGATGGGACAGAGGTGTGAGCACTGGAATGAGGGTGAGGAGGCCAGGTTATTTCAGTACCAACCATTATCCCTAGCTGTCTCAGAATAGCTGGTTGTCTCAGGAATAGGCCTCTCCACACTCCACAGCCCTCCTGTCACAGTTTGTCAGCTGACTAGCACCTCTGCTCCCAAAGAGGCATCTCCTGCCCACGTGGGGTTAGGGCCGGTGGTGGCTGCAGACTTATCGTGATGGCCTCAGGGAGGTGGCTGTGGCCTTCTCTGGACCTCATCTGCTAGGCAGCTTGTGATATCTGACCCCAATTGCCTGGGAACCCATAACAGTTTTTCTCTCAGTATCCTGTAACTGGTGATTCCTCACCTCTGGGCCTCAATTTCCCCACTTGTGGACTGAGGAGGTTATACAAGATAATCCCAAAGTTTCTGGGAAGTCATCTTTCAGGAAATGATACCCTTCTACCTACCTCTTGAACGTATCTTTTTGGCTCTCGTGGCTTTGTTTTTCCCAACTGTATTCACATTTGTTTAACTCACAACAATTCATCATTTGCTATGAGCCAGACACTGTGCTAGGTACTAGGGATGTGTTATGAGCAAGACATACACCAGGTGCTTACTGGTGGAGCTCACCTTTTAAAGTGAGAAGCAAGTAATGCACAGGTAAACAAATGCATAAACAAAGTAATTTCAGGTAGCAATAAGTGCTATGAAAGGAAAAGATAAGTAGCTGTGAAGTATAGAACTTTAGCTTGAGTGGTTCAGAAGGTCCCTTTGAGAAGGAAACAGTAAGTGCAAACATCCCAAGGCAGGAAAGAGCATCACAAGTTTGAAGAAGGAAGCCATGGTGGCTGAAGCACTGCAAATAAAGGGAAGAAGAGGAAGAAATATGGTGGGAGAGGTGGGCAGGGCATTCAGGTAATGATAAGCTGGGTTTTCATCTGAGTGTAATGAAGATATTTCCCATTGCTTAGCCTTCTTGCCTTTCTGATCTCAGCCTCTCTCACAGCATTAGTTCTTCATTCTTCTTCCTAGTTCTGGCCTCTATCTGTGACTTCATTCAGAGGGCTCAACTGGGCACACATATACAACCCTAATACTCATGCAGGACATAATTGAAACCCAACTCCTGCCATCTACCAGGCCAACCTCATATAGGTCTCCCGTCTCAAGAGGCTTACCATCCCGAGTGTTCACCTAGTTGTGGACTTAACATTTATCCTTAACTCTTACTCTCCCTGATCCCCCACATCACACCTCTCAGGCTAGTCTTTCTGCAAACAACAGCAGCAGGAGCAACAGTTAAGATGTTGAGAGTAATTGCACTGTGCCACACACTGAATGTTCATCATCTCACTTAATCCTCATGTCAGCCTGATGAGGCAGAAACCAAAAGTATCTCGCTGTACAGATGAGGAGACTCAGGTTCACAGAGATCATAGGCCATGCCCAAGGTCACATGCTGGAGATGGAGCTTGAATTTCAACCTGGGCTATTAGAGTGAGTCTCTCTCTCTTTCTCGCTCTCTCTTTCTTTTGAGACAGGGTCTTGCTCTGTTGTCCAGGCTGGAGTGCAGTGGCATGATCATAGCTCATTATAACCTTGAACTCCTGTGATTAAGCGATCCTCCCACCTTAGCCTCCTGAGTAGCTAGGACTACAGGCATGCACCACCATGCCTGGCTCATTTTTAATTTAGTAGTATTTTTATTACTATTATTATTATTGTAGATGGGGTCTTGCTATGTTGTCAGGGCTGGTCTTGAACTCCTAGGCTCAAGCAATTCTCCTGCCTTGGCCTCCCAAAGTGCTAGGATTTCAGGCAAAAGTTTTAATCATGCACTAAGAACCTAAGTGTATTAGCTTTCTATTGCTGCTTAACAAAATCACCCCAAAATATAGTGGCTTAAAACAACAATAGTTTATTTTATGTTTGTGTGGATTGGCAGTTTGGACATGTCTCAGCCGGGACAGCTCTTTTCTGCTCCAAGTGGTCTTTCCTGGCTTACTCTTACATTTGCTGTCAGTGAGCAGGTCAGCAAACTGGTTAGAACTCTATGGCCTCATTCACATGTCTGACAGCTGGTTGGGGTTGTTGGCTTGAGTCCCTTGGTTCTCCTCCATATTGCTTCTTCAGTAAGCTAACTCAGGCTTCCTTACATGATGGCCTCCAAAAGAAAGAAAACAAAAGCAGCGAGATATCTTCAGACCTAGGCTTAGAAATAATATAGTGTTATTTTCCCTGTATTATATTGATCAAAGGCAGTCACATGGCCAGCTCAGATTCAAGGAAAGTAGAAATAGATTCCATTTCTTCATGAGAAAAACATCAAATCATACTGCGCAAGAAGTCATGTGTATAAGGATGGTGGAATTGTTGTGGCCACCTTTGCAAACATTATATCACATAAGTAACCATAGGCATGGAACTGGTTAAAGAAATTATGGTACAGTCAGACATGGAGCTATTCACAGCAATGAGAGCTAACATTTTTGAGCACTTAATATGTGTCACTGTACAAGATGCTTTACATCTATTAACTCATTTAATTCTCACAACAGCTCTCTGTGACCAGTACATTTTTAATCCCCATTTTAGAGATTAAGTACACCAAGTCTCAGAGAGGTTAAACAACTAGTCCAACATCGAACAGCAAGTGACAAAGCCATTGAAAAGAATGAGGACAGTATTATGTCCTGACATAGAAATCTGGCCCTGACATTCTGTTATACAATACAAAACAAGAGACAAACAGTAGTTTGGTCAGAAAACATTTAAAAAGCACATTTAAAATATTAGGAGATGTGTGTGGTTTGTTTTGTTTTTTTGAGGTGGAGTTTCACTCTTGTTGCCCAGGATGGAGTGCAATGGTGCAATCTTGGCTCACTGCAACCTCCGCCTTCCAGGTTCAAGCGATTCTCCTGCCTCAATCTCCCAAGTAGCTGGGATTACAGGTGCCCACCACGCCCAGCTAATTTTTGTATTTTTGGTACAGATGGGATTTCACCATGTTGGCCAGACTGGTCTTGAACTCCTGACCTCAGGTGATCGCCTGTCTTGGCCTCCCAAAGTGCTGGGATTACAGGTGTGAGCCACTGTGCCCGGGTGGAGATGTATGTCTTATAAAAATTAGTAGAATAAAAATTTTTACATGTCTTATAAAAATTAGTAGAATAAAAATTTTTACATGTCTTATAAAAATTAGTAGATGTATATGTCTTATAGTTTTAGATAAATTCAGGAAGAATTTACTGCAAACTATTAATGGAGCTTATCTTTGAAGAGAAGAAAAGGAGAAAACTTTTATTTAAACACCTCTGTTTGTATTGCTTGAATTTTTTTTTTTTGAGAGAGAGGGTCTTGCTCTGTTGCCCAGGCTGAAGTGGCGTGGCAACAGTCACAGCTTACTGCAGCCTCAACCTCCAGGGCTCAAGTCGTCCTTGCACCTCAGTCTCCCAAGTAGTTGAGGCCACAGGTGTGTGCCACCATGCCTGGCTAATTTATTTTTATATTTTGTGGAGATAGGGTCTCCCCATATTGGCCATGCTGGTCACAAACTCCTGGGTTCAAGTGATCCTCCCGCCTTGGCCTCCCAAAGGGCTGGAATTACAGTAGGCACAAAGCCTGGTCTTCTTTGAATTTTTTTACAGCAATCATAAATTTTTATTTCAGTACCTTATAAAGAAGAAAATGTTTTTAAAATGTCCTTCAGTTTGGCTCTCACCTATGTCTTTTCCTATTTGGTTTTATTTTTATTGTTTTTTTGTTTTCTTTTTTGATACCACCCCAGTCCA